AAAAGAGGTGCAGGAGCTCATTAGAATAACTTGTTAGCATAACTTATTTGCATATGCCACACCCCCTGACATCATCGGAAGTGTGTCAGAAGGCAACACCCACCGCTCAGGCTCCACTGGACTGTTTTGGATTGCTAGCTATTGGGGGGGGGGAACGTGCAGATCTGACCTCACAGAGGATGGAGAGCTTGTACCTGAATAAAACTTGGTCTTAAAGGTGCCACTGGACTGTTTTGGATTGCTAGCTATGGGGGGGACGCGCAGATCTGCCCTCACATAGGAGGGAGGGCTTGTACCTGAAGGCAGGCCGGGGGATCGGGGCTCTGCAACTTACCTGGCTGCTTCATGCTCCTCGTGGCCCGACTAAGGGCTGCTGGGAGCAGGGGGCGGGACTTGTTGCATGTGCCCACCCCCTTGGCTCCTTACTGCCGGAGCTCCGCTCCTGTGTGCTCCCGCACGAAATGACCCCTGGACACATGTATTTTATATGTGAATACAGCTTTCATATGAACTGACCACTGGGTTTTTCAAGGTTCTGGTTTATGCATACCTGTGATGAATGAAAGGCAGGGTGGCAACTGGCAAGAGATATTCTGACAGTTATGGTGATGGAACAGAATCCTGGCAACTCAGTGGCAGGGAAGAAAGGAGGAAGGTGCTCTTCCCAGACAGAGTGCATTGTTTCCTAAGTCTGGCAGGCTTGAGCCCCCAAGCCCTGGCACCCAGACTGGGTGAAGGCCCTGGAGCACACATGGGGTGGGGTCTGAAAAGGGGAGCTGCATCGCCCTGAGCCTGCTCAGGGAGGGAGGGCAGGATATAAATAAAAATAAATAAAATCTAAATTAATGAAAGAATCTGCACGTCCCTCCACCTGTCAGTTTGTGGTAGGCATAACTTATCAGAATACTAGGAATCTCACAATTTACCACCAGCTTCAGGATGACTGTGTGAGTTCCAGGGCCAAAAATGAAGGGAATTGGCATATCCTCGCTCAGGTTATCTCCAGACACCCCCCCCCATACCATTTGCTAAACTAAGTTAAATTCTACCTTCTGTTCCTCATTTATAACCACTAAAGCAGATTAACATTTTATTATCATGCGTGTAAAGAGGGGGGAGCATCCTGTCACTACTTTGAGAGATCATGGGGAAATATTAACTCCCCTTTGTGCCAAAAGGAATGCAATTAAGCTCATGTGGGATAAGGCATGTAAAATATGTAAACTTTGTGGTTCCATAAGAATACACTGACTCTGAAGAAGACTAACGAAACATCCACGGCCATCAAGTGACCTCAGTCAGTTTTCTTGGCCTCTCTGCAGACCTGCAGACCAGGTCGCCGACTGGAAGACCTGCTCCAGGGCACCGGAGAATTCGACACTCGAGGCCAATGGAAGAAGCCAACAAGATCGGCTAACCCTCCTGCCTGGGCGCTGGTAGGAAGCCCCGCCCCCTATGTACTATGTGGCCTTAGGTAAGTTAAAACTGAATTTGGAACCCCTATGTAAACCGCTCAGAGACCCTTCGGGGTTAGGAGCGGTATATAAATCAAATGTAAATAAAAATAAAATAAATTTTAAAAATGAAAGCTTGGAAAATAAGAAGCAGTAAGAAGATAAGAGCCGTTTTCAAGGATTGCACATAGCCTGTTGGTCTTTCTCTAGGGAGGTTTCTTTGTGTATAATTTGTGTGTAATTTGTCTTAAAGCCATAATGCTTTAATAAGTATATGTGGATCATACTAAAGGATTTACATTTCAATTTCTATGTACAATTTTCTCATTAATTGTACTTTGAGATATATGCCTTTAAGCAGCACTTGAGTGTGAGTAATTTGTGCTCTCCATGGTGTCATTTTGTTCTTGTGGCTTCATTGTATTTAGCCTTTGCAAGATCTGGCTGCACAGACAAAACTATGGGGATGGGTGGAACTAAAGGAAGAGGATAAACATGGACTGCTGAAGAGAATGACCTTGTTAGGAGGATGCATCCTGGCTGGTCTTGCCTTGCTCCATTATTGGCTTGGTTGATGGGTTTATCTTAGGGTTGTCAGGTCCCCCTGGCCACCAGTGGGGGATGGGGAGGTAGGGTTGCTACTAGATCTAATTTGGAAAACTCCTGGAGATTTAGGGATGGAGCCTGGGGAGGACAGGGACCTCAGTGGCGTACAATATCATAGAGTCCATCCTCAAAAGCATCCATTTTCTCCAGGAGATCTAATCTCTGTGGTCTGTGGGGTGGGGGCAGAAAGAGAGAGAAAGAGTGATGAAGTGGGGAGGCAGAAAAACAAAGAGAAAGATGACAGGTCAGAAAGAGAGAGGAAGTCACATGCATGGAGGAGAAATACGCAGTAAGAAAAGGGGGGCAGAGGGGAGAAATAGTGTGAGAGAAGTAGGGTGTGAGGAGAGGAAGCAAAAGTGTGATGAATGAGATAACCATCCGTAAGTTTCTTGCGGGTCTCCACTTGTAATCGATCATGTCACCCCTCAGCCATCATTTCTCCAAGCTAAAGAGCCCCAATTGCTTTAACCTTTCTTCATAGGGAAAGCGTACCAACCCTTTTATCATTCTAGTTGCCCTTTTCTGCACTTTCCCCAATGCTATATCGTTTTTGAGGTGTGGTGACCAGAACTGTACACAGTACTCCAAATGAGGTTGCACCATTGATTTATACAGGGGCATTATGATAGTGGCTGATTTGTTTTCAGTTCCCTTCCTAATAATCCCCAGCATAGTGTTGGCCTTTTTTATTGCAGTCGCACACTGTCTAGACATTTTCATTGAGTTATCTACTACGACACCAAGATCCCTCTCTTGGTCAGTCTCTGCCAGTTTGGACCCCATCAATGTGTATTTATAGTTAGTCTTTTTAGCTCCAATGTGCATCACTTTGCACTTGGCCACGTTGACGCCCACTTGCCCATCCTCGACAGATCCCTTTGGAGTAAGCCACTGCCTCACAATGCTCCCTGGTTCTCACCACCCTGAACAGCTTCCTGCCATGAGCTTCCATGGCAGACTGGTGTTTTGAACCTGGACAATAGTCTGAAGCAGCATCACACTGGCTTTCATAGGGTGGCTGCTATTGAACAGCAGCAAACGGCCAGGCCGGGTGAGTCATGCAAGTGGGGTCTTGGGAAGTTGTTTAGTGACAGCCACCAGGCCTGGCCCCAATAAGTCCTCTCTCACAGGCCAAAACAGCACTGGGTGGTATGTACTGATGGAGCTTGGGTCTGAGGGAAGGCTCCAAAGGCCTTCAAGACTATTGGTTGTATTGCTGGTAACAGCCAATCATGTTTGTTGCTTATTACCCAATAGCTGCACTGTTAACAGTTTCTTTGTATATAGTTCATGCAAATAAAGGATTCTAGCTGCCTACTTGGTATCGGTTGTTGTTTAAGGTAGATGTGGTTTTTACAAGTATAAATAGGTTCCTGTTGAGTCTGTGTCTTTGGTTCGGAAGTTCAATAAAGAAGCATGTTGTTGTGAAAAGAGCTGCCTCCTTCTCAATACTTAATACTGGGAAAGGCCCCGCCCCTGCTTTTTACTGACAGAAATGTTTCCATAATTGTTGTGATGGCCTAACAACAGCCACTGAGAGCATCCATTTATTAAAGCTACAGGCAGTCCTTTCATAATTTTGTTCTTTTATAACCCCCCTTTTTTAAAAAAATCACATTTTTCTGCAAACCTGGTGCGATTTTCAGGTTTGTTGAATGATCCATCTTGTCCGTTCTGGGCTCCAATATAAGGATTTAACTATACTTGACCTGGTTGACTATTAGAATATACAAGCAGGGGCTGGTGAGAAACTCCTGGGAAAATTCCTCCACTGGTCTCTGCTTAGTCCTCTGCTCTCTCGTCCCCCTCCCCCTTTCTTCTCCCTGGCACATGGCTGTTCTACCTACCCCCCCCCCCAGCTGCTTTGCCTCGCTGCCCAGCCCCTTCTCTTACTTATATTTTGGGGCAGCCTCAGCTACGATTTCTTTACCAGCCGGACGGCCTGCTGCGGCAGCTTCCCCACCACCCGGCCGGCAAAGATGTTCCCAATCTCTCTGCCCTCCAAGAAGAGCCTCCCAGTAGCGAGTGCCACGCAGCTCACACTGCTACCTCTACGGAAATATCCTCAATAATTGTGTTTAAGATTTCGGCCTTCCCTGCCTCTGCTCCGGTTGCCTTTCAAACGGTGTGCGTACTATACAGGATAAATACGGTAAAAATATATGCAACCTTTGGTTCCAGCGGTTGATGTATGGGCACGTGCCCCTCCCCCGCCCTATAAATAGTGATTACTGTTTAAAAACTAAAACAAAAGGGATATTCAAAACACAGGCAAAGAAGTGGGTCCCATTCCCATGCAACGTTTTATGTTTGAAGAAGGCATCCCAAATGCGCACGATGGAGCGTAAACCAGGTTCTGGTGCAAGAAATATGAGCAAAGGAGCACTAAAAAGAAGCCACGCCCTCATAACTTCGTGAGAATTAAGGAGCACTAAAAAGAAGCCACGCCCTTATAACTTCGTGAGAATTAAGGAGCACTAAAAAGAAGCCACGCCCTTATAACTTCGTGAGAATTAACCCGGAATAACTGCAGCTGCTGGCAGGGCTAGGCTCCTGAAGACAATGTGGTAGTTCCCTCTCTATCTGCTGCTCTTCTGCATACTCCACTTTAATCTGCTTTAAGGGAATCACCCGCTTTGCTGCAGCGTTCTGGGCAGGAGAGGCAAGGAGGAAGAAAAAGAGACACGGCGACAGCGCCTTCTCGCCAAGCCTGACGTCAGCGGATGTGTTAAAGGGAGAGGTCGTGCTGGCACGAAGGAGGGAGGGTCTGTCTGTCTCTTCCGTCTGTCCCCCGCCCCCTTGTGGACCGCGAGCGGAGAGAAGACGGCGAGATAAGGTAGTGCGTCCCCTTTAAGGTTGCCGCGGTGACCGTTTGCCGAGTGAGAGCGAGGCTCATTGACGTCAGGCCGGGTGGCGATTGGCGGAGGGAGCTGGGTTTCCGGTGCGAGCGATTGCTCAGGAGGAGGCCGCCACAACTCGGGACAGGGGGAGGGGGGGCGAGGAGAGGCCCAGGGCAGGGAGTTGCGGCTTGGAGCCTGAGGTAAGTCCAAGTTGGGCCCTGGTTCCCAGCGGGCGGAGGGGCGTGTGGGCACAGAGGCGCGCACCTGAGGAGGACGGCGGCCTCGAGGAAGGCGGCCGAGGCCTCCGTGAGGGTGGGGGAAATCGCCGCCACGGTGTGAGGTAAAAGAACGTTACGGGGAGGGGGAATCCGGGAGTGTCCCGGTGGGATGCCTTGAGGGAGTGGAGGGCGGGGACCGGTGCAGCCGGAGGCGAGGGAGCCTCACAGGTGGAACGCTTTCGGATTGCCTTGGGGGAGTGGAGGGAGGGCGGGGACCGGTGCAGCCGGAGGCAGGGGATCCTCACAGGTGGAACGCTTTCTGGATGGCACGTCGGCGGGGCAGGGGGCTGGGGGAGGCTCCTCGCGGTTGGAGATAGGGGTGGTAGGAGAGAGAGAGAGAGATCAGGCGGGGGAGGGGGTGTTTCCCTTTCAGCCAAACAACGGCAGCGTTTGGGTATTGAAGCTGTAGGTAGTGCAGGGAAACTTGAAGAGATCATGGTGGTGGTGGTGGTGGTGGTGGTGGGGATGACGCTGTATAGGTTGAAAGAAAGGGGCTGTATGGGGGAGGCCCAGCCCGTGGGGGGATGAGTGGCCTGTGGCCCGGTGCTGTGAGCCTTGGTTCTAAGTTAGGAGGACAGAAAACTGTGCCTAACGCTGACTGCTCGCAAAAGACCTGTAGAATCGTTGGGAGGAAGGCCCCCTTTTAAACAGTGGACTTTTTGTCCTGAGTAATGTTGGGTTGAGTGAACAAAAGATGGGATAGGGGTGGGCTCCTTAATTTAGGGCTCGTTTGCCAAGACAGAAAATATGTTAGATCTGTATCCATCTCAGAGGAAGAGAGAGAAGTGGAGCCAAAACAATTCAGAAGTACCTTAAACTAAGCTTCAGGTACTACTTCTGTTTTAAATGTATTTATGTTGCATTCACCTTTTTTAGTTTTCACAACTTTTCACACAAGATAATTTTTATTCAGAAATGCACAGTTCTTAATCTGGGAAAGTTTTGTCATCATAGTAGAAGTAGTTCATAGCAGCCCAGAATTGCTGAACTCTTGAACAGTTGTTTATCTGTCCTGGGGAAATGAGCCACAGCTTAATTTAGCTGCCTTCTAGCATTATGAAGGTTATTTAGACTTTTTATAGAAGGTACAAAAAGGTAACTATTATAAATGGTTCAGGAATGCTCCAGGTTAGAACTGCCAATCTTCAGATACAAAGGCACTGTGTTAATTACACCTAATATTTCAGAAAGAAGTTAGGACTTTTTTCTGTAGAAATTCTGATTTCCCCCCCAAGATGTTTTAGCTATATTTTCTTATTACTATCAGGGTGTTGTTAATTGATTTGCTGTTTAAAACTCTTATGCAAGATGGGAGGGGTTATTTTAGGCACATCAGTTTTCCTTCAGTGAGAAAAGTAACCCCCTCACATCCTTTCTTTATTTAACTGTGCACTGACCAATGCTCCCTCTAAGTTGTGGAGTCTTGTGAGCAAAAATTCTACTTTGTGAGCTACTGGCATTACAGTTGTGAGTGAGCGATTTGACTGCTGCATAAATTAGTTTGCTCTGGAGCCATCCTTCCTGAGCCAAGACGAAAACATGTGAGCTGGAGGCTTAAAAACTGTGAGCTAGCTCACACTAACTCAGCTTAGAGGGAACACTGGCACTGACCCAGAAGTCTTGGACAGAACCAGTCTTAGAAGTGCCATGCTCTATTTCCATCCCTCACATCATTGTGTGGTAGTGCTGGAACCCCTGCAAATGTGCTTCTGCAAAATGATTTGAAGCTGTGTGTCTTTTATATTGGGATTACATAAACCTTGTCACCAAATTGTCATTCCCAGTTTCTGAGGGAATCTTGTTGCAAAACCAGAGCACTGTCAAAGGTGATACTTTATGTTGTCATTAAAATGAATGAACTTTGATGCCTTGTTTTATTCTACTAAATGTCGTGTTACACAGAACTGAGCATACTGTCGTTTAAGTGCTATTTTGTTGTGTTTGAGCACTGTTGCCTGATGTTGTCTATCAACAGCATGATACTTTTTTCATGGACTAATTTGCAGGCTGTCATGGAGTCACAGAATAACTTTTTGATTGTTAATTAAGGCATTTATTATTGACATTTGTTATGCAGGTTGTGAAAATGAAAGGACCGACTGTAGAACTTCTAAGGCATCCTAATATAAATACAACAACTACTTGTATTTGACTAGAAACAGGTGTACTATAATCTTTAGACTTTTTGCGGGGTTTGCAGTTAACAGTGCAGTGTGTTTGGAACTGCGGCAATGCAGCATTATCTTTAGCCCTTGTATAACCCTCAGGAACAGAAATCAGATGCACAAGTTTGTTATCACAAGTATACTGCCATGCAGTGTCTCTAAATCTGTCACTTAGGAAGACATGTATTAATAGGCCAGTAACACTTGGGAGTTTGTTATTCACTTTCTTACTTCCTTCCTTCTTGAAAGGTGATACTGGGATCAACATCCTCTCCTTGAAATTCTGTGCATACCTGTAGTTGTTGCTGTTATTTCCCCTTCAAGTAAGTGTTGAGTAGTTGCCTTGCTTCTAATTTTGGAGAATATTGTTTTAAATGTGTGTTGAATGACTGGCTTGCATAGAACTTAATTTCTGTTATCCATTTATGAAGAAAAATTACTATTTTTATTAGTGAACTGTGACATTTATCTACTGGTAAATTTCTGCCCTGGGGTTGGGATTAAGATATTGGTATTTTTTGCCTTGACTATATTATGCTAGTAGCATATGGTTTTGAGTGCAACTGGTGATATTCCTAGTGAAGAGCCACACCTAGGTCTTCACTTCTTTCTGTTACAATGTTTTTCTCAAGTACTTCTGGCCCAGAGAGTGAGCACGTGAACTAGGTACCTCCTCTTTTGTCACCATATGTTTCCATTGCTGCTAATTAGTTATCCCTGTAGATAAATTAGTGACTAGTTGCTGACAGCATTAATATGTAACAGCAACACAGCTGGGCATATCTTGGAGTACTGTTCAAATGTGTCTTCCTTTCAGACAACAATGGCGGCTTCTGCCAGCAACACCAGTGAAGAGGAGCGTAGCCTTCGTGAATGTGAGCACTATGTTCAAAAACATAATATCCAGCCACTCCTGAAGGATTGCATCGTCCAGCTATGTACAGTGCGACCTGAGAGACCTATGGGATTCCTCCGGGAATACTTCGAAAGACTGGAGAAGGTAAAAATAAGCTTGGGGAATGGGAGAGTATAAAGAAATGCATTTTCGCCTAGGTGGTTTGAGAGGAGCAAAAACCTTTCCTGTACATTTTAAAAGTTTTTTTCCCCCCTTCTGGGCAGAGAACAGGCAAGGGGAGGAGTCAGTTCCATTTCTTCCCAGATGTAGCTTAGCTCACCCTCTTACAAATTCTAATAGAAGTAGCCAGAGAGATAATGAGTGGGTCCAGATATCCCTCTTCCTTCAAGTAGGGAACAGAGTTTTGGAGGAATGGAGGAATGGAAAGAGTTTCCTGGAGATCTCCTGGAAATGCCTCTTTGACATGGAGTGAACTGGTCAGTGGGTGGAGGAACAGACATGATAAAATCTCCTTGCAGCAGGAAGGAGGGCTCTTTTTCCTGGGTGCTGCATCCATGAGCGCACACAGACCTCTCCTCTGATGAGGCAGCCACTGACTATGTGCTCACCTCAAGAGCTGGCACAAGCTTCAAAGTAATGGAACTCTATAGGGATCTGTAACATCCTAGGCAAAAGGGGCCTGTCCTATTTTAACATATGATAGGGCATGTATAGAGAAAGGGACAGCAGATTTGTACTTCACCTATTTATTTTAGAATCCCTTGCTCAATTTGGTGCTGAGCTAAAAATACATTTGTAAACATTTTCTTTTGAATAAATATTTTATAACTTTGGATGCTGGGGAGTGGTTTTCCGTACCACATAGACCTCCACAATCTTGGAAGCACTATTTTAAAGAGAGCACCAGGGGGAAGGCAGGCAGTTTGCAAGTGGCCATTCCTCCATGGGTGTGCAAGGCAGTAAACTGTCTCCATGGTGACTAGACGCTGGGCAGTGGGAGACACAGAGACGAGGCCTCAGAGCTTAAAAGGTAAGCTGGGAGTCCTGACCCTCCCACTGGGTAATTCCGTACAATGGTCAGGTGGCAGTGAGCGACCCGAGAGTGGAAGAAAAGCCTTTATAGATGTGGAGAAATACCTAGGAGGGCAGGGCAGAATAGGCCTGCAGGTCAGAGCAGGCCAGTTCCGCAACAGAGAGAGTGGCAAAACCTTTTGCTATGTCTCTCAAAATAACTTAAAATAAGTGTTGTTTTTGGCCTAAAGTAATCAGCATTTGAACTGTTTTAAAAAAGTAGTGTCCAAAAAGCTCTTTTGTAATTTAGTTTAGTGTAGAAAAACATCTGTACAAGAATGTTTTTATAAATGGAGAAGAAAAAACAAATTAGCTATGCAGAAGAGCTTCAAAGAAACTGGAGTCACTTTTGTATGTAAGATATTAAAAGCTGACTGACAAGCATTGCAAATTTATGTCTTTGTGCATTTTTGAAAGATTTTGATGTAGAATAAACTACTTTTATGACCCTTAATGTATTAGCTGGACAACCTTTTTATCAGTTATGGCACTAGATAGGAAAAGATTCTAAACTCAAGTGAAAGCAGCACCATAGCCAGAAGTTGGAAAGAAGTAGGGGGCAGGGCTGTAGCCAGTGTGTGTGGGGGGGTGTCACTGGGGCATGCTCCCTATCAATTTGCTGCGTTTCCACTCCAATCTCCTCCTTTAATTACCTCTGGGTGGCTGGTGGTGGCGGCGCTTCTGCCAGAAGCATTTCCTGGGCCGGAGAGCCGAGCAGCTCCATCCGCCTGGGTGCTACACAGCTCCAGCGCCCAAAGGAGGAGGACCCCAAGGCAGCCACCAGCCACTGCCTGCATCGACCATGAAAGAAGACCTGAGACTGGGTGTCAGCAGTGGGATCCCTAGGTGGCTGATGAGCTGCACTGGAGAGCCAAGTAGTGCAGTGCGCACAAGATCATTTGGGCGCTGGGAGGGAAAGGAGGAAAGCGGCAGGCTCAGCCTGCAAAAGCCATGAGGAAGAGGAGAGGCAGCAGCCCAATCCCCTCCTGCCTTGCTGCTCTGCTCCTGGCCCACTGAACCGGACTCTCTCCAGCCTGATTTTTCATGATTGGGGGGCAGGCAGGTGGAGGGAGGAAGGATATAAAATGTTTAAAATTGTGTTTGTGACGTCATTCCCTCTCAGTGCCCCCCCCCAAGAATTCCTTGCTACAGGGGTGATAGGGGGTGATCCTGCTCCTGGCAAGAAAATAGTAAAGACTTTACAGGCTCATTAGCAAGGTGGAGTGCCTTCTGAGATCTTGCTGCTGTACTGTTTCACTGTGGCCTAGAGATGTTCAGATTAACCTTTTCCAGTGATTAGGGGATATAATGGTTAAGTAGAAGAATACAATTACTTTCTTTTGATCTGTAAGTAGAACATAAGCTTCAGTAATGTAGTTCTTCCTTACATGGCAGAAAAGCTTTCTGGGTTTCGGCCCTTGGCGCACCTCATAAAGTCAAACAAAAATGATATTGTACTTGAATCATCATTATATATTTAGTCTAGAGATGTAAAATTTCTGGAAATTTTGAATCTCGGAAAAAAACCCAGGTTTTTCCCATTTTTCCCCGGAAAAAAACGGATATTTTTGGAAAAACTGAAAAAAATGCTACATTAGCATTTCTTTTGTCTTTTCTAGATTGAAAGTAATTCTGTTACTTTAGGGACATAAAATATGACTATGGATATTTTTACATGGCATGAAATTATCACAACTAGCATATTAAAAATATAGTGTATCCAAGCAATTATTACAAACAGAATACCCACCCACATGCAAAAACAAAACTGAAACCTTTTTATTTTCTTCTGACAATCACACCTCCTAAAGGAAGAAATGCATCTTGTTCTTGCATTGGAGAGTTCAGTTTGTAACCTAGGACTTGCTTGTCCTCAGTGCACAGAAATATATTAGAAATGATTTGGAAAATATTTGAACACCTTGTCTTAAAATATTTTATTCATCATGTTAAAATAAAATGTTCCATAATCAATTTTTTTTCTTTTCTTTTTTCAATTTTTCCAATTTTTCAGAAAAAAACAAAAAAGGCTTCAGGAAAAAACCAGGAAAAAACTGTTTTTTCCCCAATTTTTTCTGGTTTTTTTTCCGGGCCTTCACATCTCTAATTTAGTCTAATGAAGGCATGGTCTAGTAGAAATACCAGCTCTGCAACCATAAAACTCTGTACCTCTAGCTCATATTTCAGAACGTGTAAGCTCATTTCATATGTTGTTTCACATACAGTTCCACTGTCAAGGCTGAGAGGGTCATTTGTGAGTACAAGTACAGACATACTTGTGATACACCATGTAAACTGTAGGAGGAGCCTAGTCTACATGAGGACTGAGGAGAGGAAAAATCAAATACTTCCATTCCTTAACACTGCAAGCAGTTGGGGTCAGTTGGAGGTTTAATACTTTACTACTAAGACTCTTTCAGTGGCATAAAATCTGAAACTGCCACAGTATCTGAGTCTCAGTGTGCATTGGCAGTAAGAAAATGCTAAGTTTAATATGTAAGGGGGAAATGTATCAATAGCTGGGCATTTTTTAAATCAAGTCTTAAGACTAGTTCAAAGGGAACCTCAGCATGAACACTGAAATACAGTGGCTATGTTTACATGGCATACTGTCAGAATTCTTGTTTTCAATGAAGCTTCACACTCTGAAAAAGTTAACCACTACAGAGAAAAAGTTAACTGAAGCTGTGAGTTGGTGATTGAAGTGTTTCACCAGAGAACACTTAATTTTTCTTTCTTTCTCTTTGCCATCAAGTCATACCTGACTTATGGTGATCCTGTGGGATTTTCAAGGCAGGAGATGTTCAGAGCTGGTTAGTCATTGTCTGCCTTTGTTTCACGACCCTGGACTTCATTGGTGGTCTCCCATCCAAATACTAACCAGGGCCAAACCTGCTTAGCTTCCAAGATCTGACAAGACTGGGCTAGCCTGGGCTATTCAGGTCAGGCCAAGTTTTCAATTCATACATGTATTAAACATAAACATTTTATAATGTGTTTGATGTCAGTATAATGTCCTGTTGTGCTTTCATTTCCCTGTTCATTTGGTGGCGGTGAGCCAATTATGCTCCAATAATGTTCTGGTATTTTCCTTTGGTGAGCCAATTAAGTAAGGACTAACATAGTGGGACATGTGGCCTGTATTAGTCTTGAAAAATGCAAGAAATTTGAAAGGTTATAGGGTTACTAGCAGTTTTGGTTTTTCTGTATTTTTTAGAGGATACTGGGCAACCACATGGCAGAAGAGGGATTGATTATTAATCCAGTAATTTTTGGTGGCTGTGCGAACAGACTACCAAAAATATTTTTTTTTTCTCGTGTACTTTGACTTCTGTGTCATAAACAGCTTCTATCATCACTGTGTCAGCATTCTTTGGAAAGAGAGGTAGCATTCATGCCATGGCTTTAAGATAAACCATAAGATCAGTGTTCAGCAATTCTCACCATCAATGCTAATCATTATGCGAATATTCTTTCATAGAGCACAGTATAAAAAGAATGCATATTTTGTTTTATGTGTAAGAAGCATTGTGTTCAGATTCTGTAGTTGTGTATTTTCATTTTCAGTTCAGTCTTTATGATTGTATATAGAAGCACATAGTTGCTATTAAAACTAATGGTCTAGCCAGCTTTGCATTCCAATTTGAACCAAGTACCACACTATACAGCCTCTGAAAACAAGGAAGTGATTGTGTGCTTTATGCAGATGGAACTCTAGATTTTGTTTAAACTAGTGCTGTGAGTTTAATCTATGCAATCAATTAATCAACTAAGATCAGTTGATAATTTAGAATATCAGCAGAGGTCTGTTTAAATAGGTAGGGCTAAAATATGGTTTTTAGACTTTGAGTAGTAGTTTTTGTTGATTAAACTGCAAATTGTCTTGCAATTTTCAGATGCCTTTATTTTGATCAACTCCAACTAATTAAATCACACAGTTTTGAAATGGCTGGTCAGCCTGCTTACCTGGACTGTTCAGACACATTTTAGTAAGAGCAAAATTACACCTTGATCTTCAAGAACCATGATAGCTAAAATCCATAAAATGAATTAAGTGTGTTCTACTGTTTTTA